AATGGTTATTTTGCAGTAACAGGATGAGAAAACTTTCAGCTTGACCAGAACTCAAACCTGTGACCCACAGAATAATGTACCGCGGCTGTAGCGATTGAGCTATCTGGCGCTTACACATTTTCTCCCCTAAATAGTGAACAGTTCTAAACCGTGACAGATATTTAGATTTTTAAATTAACAGATAATTAATTCTTAATTAATAAATAAGAGAAAAAAAACCTTACATTACTCATAGTCTTAATCAAAATAACAATTTATATTAATTATTTTTGTATAATTATTTTTACTAAAAAGGGCTAAGACAGTTATTGGTTATTGCCATTATTTATAACAGGTCAATTTGAAAGTGAATTTAACTGTGCTAATACATGTACAAGTATCTATAAGAAATTTTATGAAGGCTGATTTGTATTTTACATCAAGGGCACGGGGCGAAAAACATGAAAATGCAACAAACGAACCACTTTGTGGTAGATTGTATTTTCATGTTTTCATCTGGCGCCTAACACCGGTTACTTTTTGTACTTGGTTGGTTTTTTGTGGCACAAATCACCCACTATAAAATTTTAGTGTAAAAATTTATTCAAGGACAAGTATCAATCTACTCTATGAAAAGTCTGTTGTCGGGTTGACTCAGGAGACCTGGAGGTTGAGACCGATGTCCCTCCATTACAAACAGATAAGGCAGAAGCTGTCCTTTTCAAACTATGCACATGTTAGAAAAAAATTAGAATAACTATTCAGAACATGATTTTTTGAGGCTTTATCAATTATATTGCTTGATCCAAGTTTCAGGACATTTTCAATCAATACATGTATTATCATTTATAACTTTAAATGAAAGTCTCATCCCTTTAATAATAATGACATAACTGCAACTCTTTAAATTCAGAAATATTGTAAGTCTCATCATACCAATATACTAAGATTATAAATGTATGCACATAACATTAATAATTCCAAGTTTCTTTAAATAAATATGAAATATTGGGTTTATAAAGCCAGTAAAAGTATATAATTTTCAATATTCTTCAGGGGTTTTTGCTTTTGATACCTTACAACTGGGAAATTTTTAAACAAAATTGTAAATAATACCCAAGTAGAAGAAAGAAAAAAAATTTGTAAACTGGTTACTTCCCCCTTTAAAAAAGAAAAATGAAAACCCAAAAGAAAACCTAACATAAAATTAAAAAATGTTGCGCCATTTTTTAAATTTATATAATGCCTGCAAAATTAATGGTAAAAATATTTATAAAAAGTAGAGGCATGTGAAGCGTAATTTAGAAAAGGGTTTTCAACTCATAGGTAACCCCTTTTAAAACAAACCCTTCTGGTTCAAAAGAAATAATTGGATAAATCAATGGTAAAATTTTCAAAGTCTTACCCTTTCCTAAAATCATTTTTTAGGTGAAATTTCTTTTGTAGGAAAATTTTGAAATTAAATGAATTGAACATCAATGTAGACCACAACGATATTCGAAATCCGGGTTTTAGCATTGTCAATAAAACAAAGGGACAAGCTGTTAATCAGAGCCCTGCAATTTCGTGAAAATAATATCACAATGCACATGCTTTTTTATAAAGTTATTAAATACAAATATAACAACATATTTGTTTACTTGATTTTTTACGAATCAAAATAAATATAATTAACACAACATGAAATTAACTGCTAATAATAACAGCTCCTTCCATAGGCAAAAAATATAAAAGCGTTCCATAATAGACGACGCCGCTCACCAAGGCGTCGCCAATAAAGCATTTTTTCGGCAGTTAGGTTTGCAAAAAAATGATATTCATTGCAGGCAGATTTAGGGCTGCCATATTATAGGGGAAATTTCAGCTTTGAGGGGGGAAAAAAACATACTATTTTGAGGGGGGAATAGGGAGAATTTCGCCGAATATTTTGGTGAAAAAAAACACTGCAATTTTACATATAAATTGACTAAAATATGTCAGAATCGCCCTGTATTACTTAGTTATTAATGAGATAAAACTCTTGTTATGAAATTTTTAAATTTGGTCATATTTTGCTAAATTTTTCTACGGTTACTCCAATTTCATTCTTGTTCATGGGGCAAAAATTTTTGTTGTTTTTTTCTTGGAAATTCATGAAAATTTCTCTTCAGCTGTATAAAATTTTTGCATTGTACTTTTTTTGCACCTCGAAAAATACTATTCAAGTTAAATTTTATGCCTCCAGTACTTGGGGGTAAAGTGGGGGGGTTGGGGGAGTATATAGATTAATTGTTGTCCATCAGTCACACTGTACATCCATAGACTGACAAATCTTAATGGAATATGGTGGCATGCATGCCCTATGGACATATTATATATTGCTGATTTTGGTACCATACAGCTTTAAGAGTTTATATATAAATGATAATGGCAGAGATGATGAAGCATGTTGGTTTTTTTTTCTCGTTTCCCAGTTTTCCATCAGGCAGTAATTAATTAACAGTGAGAGATGCATAATAGCTAGCTTTCAATAATGAAATATCCAGAGCCCCTTGAGATATAAGCTTGTTGTGTCTATGTATCTATCCAGAAAAATGAGCTGCCAGTGTATATATAATAAAAGTGATGAGTAAAACACAAGAGCATTTTGTTGAGTGTATATTTGAAACAATTTTGCAGCAATTGCTCTCGGGTGTTTTCCAGCAGTGCCTCCCCCCCTCCCCTCTTCTTTTTTTTTAGCTATAAAAACTTGATGGTAATTATATTCATTGAGAATGTAGCTGTTTCGCAGAGTTTGTAAGGAGATGCACAGATGCAAAATTGACTGCATAATATATATAATTACCGTGAAACCTGTGTATACAGACAGAAATTCATGATAAGTGAAAGTGTTATGGTTGGAAAGAGGCTGTTTGTCTTGTCATATTATGACAAACTGTTTCATAGATTGTTATTTTACCTTTTGTGAATTTGAAACTAACGTTTTTGAGTCTAAGTAATGCATAGTATCATATTATCACCTTAGTGCAGTAAGTGGTTAACTCCTGAGTTAACCACTTACTGCACTAAGGTGATGTTAATTATATGCTTATGATTTCTAGATTGTATTTCATCCTTTACCTCCTGGAGGCAACAGATTCTACCCATGTTACCAGTACAGACCATTGGATCTCAGCTGGCACATTAAGCAGCTGTCTGATCATGGTCTGTAGTGTTTACGGTCATTCACAATGTACCTCTGCTCTGGCATGTACAGAAGTAATCAGTTCCTTGTAATCAATTCCTTGCCAAAGTGAAGGCAACCAGTACTGGTAAACTGCTTGACAGCCTGCCCAGGAACGATGTGGTGGCTGAACTGTGCTCTTAGGTAAATTCAATGTGGCTTTAACTGCAGTGATCCGGAATAAAAACTACCTTCACCACCACCACATGACTGTGTCAATGTAACAGAGGTAGTAAATGTTGACTTGACGTGGGCCATAATCTTACAAGAATGGTACACTTTTAAGTGTTCAATTACTGATTTGAGTATAATTAAAGTCAGCAACTATTAGGACTTAATACCTTCAATCTTGACAAAACCATTCAACATTTTTAGGGCAAATTTCTAAATATTATGTGTACTGACTGGGTTGTGCACACGGTGCAGACCATGGTCGGTGCCAGCTGATTTTGGTCTGCACTGGTTGCATGGGTTACTATAAGAATCTATTACCACCAGCATGCTAAAGGTTTGAAATGAGTTTTCATAAACCAAATAATTTATAGGATATAGCCTTTATATAATCGTACAGTAGAGAAGGAAGTTAAAACAAAACTCTTAAACGACAACAAAGTAGCTTTATTGAATGTTTGATATGTTTAAAGCTTAGCTTTTCAATGAAAGTAATGGAAATTGCTGTATCCTTGAGGATATTATGAGTATTGATCATCATAATAATACATAGTTGTATTTTCAAGGTGTCTTAGTAATCGGCATGAAATATCGTGTACTTTTATCTTCTGTTACCGTCTCGTGCATAGTGAACTCGTGCATTGTATTTTTTGTTTTGGTAGTTGAGTATTTTATTGAACATATTTGTCAAATGATATAGGTTGTTACGATATAATATGTTATCTGGAATTTCGTTACATTGGAAATTGGATTTTTAATTTTTGCTAAAGGAAAGCATATGTGTTCAATGTGTGTTCAATAGGGGAAATGGAACATAAATTTCTTTAAGTATTGTTGCAATATTGTTTTGACACTTCTGGAAACGTGTAAAAAAAATAATTTATTTTATGCATTGAAATTTGATTTAAATTGAGTCATTTGCATTTCCTTGGAAATATAGTCTGCTCTTCTATGATTAGTCAGCAAAAATTGCAAATAAGCAATTTGCTTCTTTTAACTGTCATTTAGAAATGCAAAAGATGTTCTTAAAAGGGGCGGGGCGTACTTTTTTCTTGCCTGTTTTATTGATGTAATAATGATGTACCTACTATTCCATGTTGTAATAAATCAATTACAAAAAATTGTTTGATTCAGAAGAACATTTTCCTGATGAGATAAAGTTTCACTGTTAAAACTGAAAGTAACATAATAATAACTAAGAAAAAGTGGTAATATAATAGACCCAAAGGAAAATAAAACCCTAAAACAAGAAAGTAAATTTTCGAAAAAGAAGAATACACTTTCAACAAAGTGAAACAAATAATTTTTTTTTTGCGTTAAATTTTGTATCAAGTTAGAATATCGTGACAAAAATGGAAATGATTTAATTATGATAATGGACTTGAGGCATCATCAACAGTTTAAAAAGTTATCATGATGGAATTTCTTCAGAATATGATTCTTGTTGAAACAAAGTGGAAAAAAATTAGATGTATATACACTATTGAGTTTTTATATTTTGAACACAGTAATTAAAAAAAAAAACTTGACATTTTTAACCTTCATCAGACCTTATTCTTATAAAACTTATTCTTATAATGTTATCGTGATCGAAAAAAGAATATGAAATATTGTTTGGATTTGAAGTTTTAATTGTGAAAAATTAAACACAAAAAGAGTGAAAATGTTAGATAAAGGGATAGAATATAAGACAATTGACGAGGACCATGTTTTGTCCAAGACGGCAGTTAAACTGTTCGCTATCGACAAACCCTCCAAACAGATGGTGGCTAAAATTCAACAGAAGCATAAACAAAAGTGCTATAAATATCTCAAGAAGAAAAGGTAAGCTTTCAAATAAAATGATTATAATATTTTGTACAAATTTCTTAAGGTAAGTTTAAAAAGTATTGAGCTGCTTTCAACAAGGGAGGTAAGCCTATGAGCTTTCAATAAGGGAGGTTAGCCTTTCAGCTTTCAACAAGGGATGTAAGCCTGTCACTTTTTAACAAGGGAGGTAAGCCTATGAGCTTTCATCAAGGGAGGTAAGCCTTTCAGCTTTCAACAAGGGAGGTAAGCCTTTCAGCTTTCAACAAGGGAGGTTAGCCTTTCAGATTTCAACAAGGAAGGTTAGCCTTTCAGATTTCAACAAGGGAGGTTAGCCTTTCAGATTTCAACAAGGGAGGTAAGCCTTTAAGCTTTCAACAAGGGAGGTAAGCCTTTCAGCTTTCAACAAGGGAGGTTAGTCTTAGCCTTGAACAAGGGAGGTAATGCTTTCAGCATTCATCAAGGGAGGTAAGTCTGTCAGCCTTCAACAAGGAAGGCAAGTTTGTCAGCCTTCAACAAGGGAGATAAACCTTTCAGTTTTCAACAAGGGAGTTAAGCCTTAAAAAGCCTTGTACAACAGTGTAAGTTTAGGAAAAAACAAAAAAACCCAAAAAACACCCCCCTCCCCTCCAACAAAACAAAAACAACAAAACAAAAACAAAACAACAAAAAACAGCCTGTGTGCATGAAAAATGAAATAGAATCAGTTTTACTGTATATTGAAAATATCTGCTTTTCTATAATTCTAAAGAAAATTTCCTGCGAGTTCTCAAGCAATACACTAATGAGATTAATTAACTGCAGCAGTATATACAGCCCAATGTTATATTTATTAATTTTGACAGATGTTTCATATGGAACTTTTAAAATGTTCTACATCGTTTAGGCTTGGAATGATTTATAACTTAGTAGGAATGCACTTTTTAGATTTAATTCAGATTCAGCCTATAGTAACTTTATTTAATATAATTCTACAAAAATGTAAAGTTGAGTCTGGTATCAGTAAAGAATGTTGATGTGTCTTAATTATGCAATCTAAAATTAAGTAATAAAACTGGAAGGGACAAATTACTTAGAAAACTTTAAGGATTTGACATATCAATCTTTGTTTGACATATGAAGAAATATTAAGAAATTAGATTTAAACTGATTTAAACAATGGACAAAAATGTTTCAGAAATATTTTTTAATCCCCCATTCTCCACCCTCCATCAAGGGGGTAATAAAGGGTGCATCTGTAAGTTAACATGCAGATCATACATGTGAGCTCTCCCACTTTTAGCAGGAGTCTCCTACTTTCTGCAGCCATATTTTCAAAAAAAATTCTTAAAATAAGGGGTATATTCACAAATTAAAGAAATCTCCCTCTTTTCTATAACAGAACTTTCTTCTTTGTTTATTGCAAATTCTAAAATCTCCCTCTTTTTGAAGAAAAATCTCCCACTTGATCATTGAAAAAAAGTTCACATGTAAGTAACAGATATCTCAATATACAAGAATTTCCTGTCCCAAATCTTTTCAGACAACTTCTCTCATAGTTCAAAAGTGACAGCAAAGGATTTGTATCCTGGAGCCGCTGGTTTGATCCATGGGTTAGGGAAATTTCTCTGGGACAATTGATCTTGGAGTATAAAGGTCATTTGTCTCCCATTGCAGATTACCAAATTATGTTGGATTGGAGTAGTTTGTTAATTGCCAAGAAATTTATAACTACTGGTTAGTTATCAGGAAAAGCTGTTTGGTTGGGCCAACTGCTTAAAATTTACCAAAAAATAAGTTAAAATCGGCATAAAAGTTAAAACAAAACAAACAATTGTACCTCAACCCTTGCTAGAATTTGCATCACAGTATTTGGTTAATGTTACAATATATATAATATTCATTTTTTTGTCCAAATTTAGATTATTTTCATTGTTATTGCAGTGTTTTTGTTAATTTTTTTGCTAAAACTTTTTTTTGTGTGAATATATTTTGATTCAACCTTGTGGCTGAAATCTGTATAAAATTTGAGTAAATTATCAAAATTATCTTTTGAAATTTTAATATAAAACTATTTGGATATCTTATATTTGTAGATCTCGAAAAGCATTACTCATAGAAAACACAACAGAGTTACCGCAGCGTGAGGATGGGGACGGCACCGAACACCCGGAACTGCACGGCATTCCATCAGGTAACAGGCCGGTTCATGGTTTACGCTCTGTCAGATTTATGTTTATTATACGGACAATCTATCTTTGCTTTATTATACAGAACTTTGGTAAACAGAGAAAACAAGGCTTTAATCTTTTGCTTTTAATTTGCAAAAATTAATATTAGGGTTAATTATGGTTTGGGCATTTTATTTTGATAATTAATAATCGAATAAAAAAAATGTAAAATTTACTTATGTTTGAGCAGATGGTGCAATTTATGTATTAAAGTATAAAGTTTAAGTTACACCCCCCTGGGCCACCCCACCAGGCCTCTGCCCTGTACCTGCCAGGGACCCTTGCGTCCCCCTGGACCTGCAGCCAGATTTTCATCCATTTTTAAAAAATTTCAACTTTCACTCATGTGTATGAAGTTTGATTCTGCAAAGTAAACATTTCCTTTTTTGTTTGTAATCAAAATGACTTTTAAGTTTTATACAGATATTCTGATAAGTCTAGCCATATTTGATCTGTGAAATTAATCGGCATTATGGTGTGAATGTTAAGTAATTAATTGACATGTTAATTATCACATGTACTTAATGTAATGAACATTGTTGTCAAAAAATTACGAGTCTGGGTTTTCACGCCTTTTTCCCCCCTTTGTCTATTCTCTTTGAAAATTAAAAAAGTGACTTTATGTCATAGTTATTCCAGATAACTCGTACATATTTCATGAACGAACAATTAATACACAGCGTTTCTGTTATGTGCGAAAATGCTGTATCTGTAACAATGATACACAACAGATAGGTGTTTTTGCATCTGACTTCAAATGATCTGGTATATTTTACATAGGTGTCTATAGATGTAAGTAAAGGTTTTCTGATAGGTTAATACGGTTTTGTGTTTTTTGAAACAAGAGTGGCCGTATTTAACAGGAAAATAAAACGCTGATATTATAACGTTCATTTATAATGAATTGAGAATGTTGCATCGGAAAGGCTTATAATGGATTACTTACTTATAGTGTATAAAAATGCAGATTCTTATGCATTAGATAACATACTGTATAAAGTTATTGAATTACAGATCCTAACAAAAATAAATGTGTCATTAAATATGATAATAATTTATTGAAGTAATGTTAAATCAAAACAATTAAATCGGATGGAAAAGTTGTTTGCTCAAGATTCCACAATTTTATACGCAATGATAGTCATGATATTAAATTCAGAAAAAGTTCTTTAACATCCGTTAGTAGGATAATTAAATTTTACTCAGTTTTAGAATAGAATTGGAATCGGATTAATTATACATAGTTAGGCATTAACAGATTATAAAGTTAGGCAATATATAAATATAAAGTTAGGCAATATATAAATATGTGTCATTGTGAAGCATACAGGGGAAATATAGTATGTGGCAATTTTCGGATAGTTCGGGACATATAATAATAGTTCGGCAATTATTATGCGGGAACCTGCGCACACCGTCCGTGTGGGAATCGTGTACGTATGCTAGACTAGATTAATCTATATAATAATCGGAGGTCGCAAATTCAATTGTCAGTATTGCCCAGGTTGTCTTAAGCAGCCCATACGGACAAAGTGGAAATTTTTTAATAATTTACTATAATTATATAAATATCATATGAACTTATTAAGAAATGCTTCAGATAAAATTGAAGCAGGACAAGTAAGTCAAAATCAGATTTTGATGGGCGTAATAATCATAATGAAGAATATCGAAGATTCGGAGCAACCAGTGAAGTCCGGATTAGAACAACTTTCAATAAGTGGGATAATATATAATAGTCTCTTTTAATTCCTATAGGCAATAAGGGCATGGTTATTTTTAGAATGTTGTTTTTCTCCAAATAAATTTTATCATTCTTTAAGCGTAGCTTTAGGTAACCTAGAGCCCTCGTACCAGGAAATATTATAATAATGATGAATATATAGAAACTATGGAGATTCATTCTTGCATTCCTACTTCACCATGACCTGTGTAAGATTAAATTTAAAAAAAAACAGGGAAATTAAACTGCAACTTTAATATTTACTTAATTTGGGATAGGCAGTGGCCTTGTGTTTTACAGGCATCTTGTTTTATTACCTGAGAATAAAGTGTTCCACTTTAGTGATGTAATCTGAATGCTAAATATTGATTGTAGAATTTTATATTGAATAATATTTCATTTTTTTTTTTCAAAATTATTGGTTTTTTAGGTGTTTTTTTTCAGGTTGCAAATATATCGAATTTTTTTTATTTTTGGGCTGTGGAGGATGATTAGCTCACCTGAGCACAAAGTGCTGAGTGGTGAGGTTTTGTGATGGCAAGTTGCCCGTTGTTATCCACAGTTTCTTTTTATAGGTATCCATAGTTTCTTTTTGTTTTGTATCCACAGTTTCTTTTTGTTGTTGTCCACAGTTTCTTTAAACCACAACATACCCTTGACCACTTCCTGGATTTTTACCAAACTTCACAAGAATATTGTTTAAGTATACTAAAGAAGGTCAAAGAAGCTAACAATAGACATAAGAATGAAATCTGCAAAAAAATGTCTCTTCAGTGACTACAATGCCAAGAGCTTATATATTTTGCATGTAGCATCACTTTTTTACCTCTACAAAAGTTAGGGTAGTCCGTGGCTGAATGGTTATTGTCGTTGACTTCAAACCACTTGCCCCTTGCTGCTGTGGTTTTGAATCCTGACAGGGACTTTGGATTCCTTCATGTGAGGAAGCCATCCAGCTAGCTTACGGAATGGTCGTGATTCTACTCACTGGTGCCAGTTCGTGCCTGAAATAATGCTCAGGAGGGCACCTGAGGTCTTCCTCCACCAGTAAAGCTGGAACGTCATTATATGACCTACACTGTGTGGGTTTGACGTAATACCCAATCAAAACAAAACAAAACTACGAATGTTAGATAAATCATGCCTCAATAGTGGGAATTGGCTCTGCCCTGCGTTTCACTGTTTACAAGGAAGAAAACACATTTCTTCACAAAGACATTGTACACAATCTAAGGCTTAGATATTTAGCATGTAGCATGATTGAAGTGAAGCTGCACAGAAGTTTATGAATCGTGGCCCCAATTGTTACCCTATGACCTACTGCTGTATTGCAGAATTACAACCTTTTTCTAAGAATAGATCTCAGGTGAGCGATCTAGAGCCATCTTAGCTCTCTTGTTTATTAAATACTATTAGATATTAGGGAAAGAAATCTTTAAGAGTATTTTTACTTTCTGATGCCCTGCTAGTGTTCTGTATGATAACTCTGACTATAATTCTGTTTGTAAACTAACTTCTTTGGAACGTATGTATTCACATATAATGTATTTATATGTGTGTTGTCTTGTTTCTATTTTATCTAGACCATACATCCCTGCTTTTGCACGATTCACTGCCCCCACCACCCGCCTACCCAGGACACTCCAAACTGCCACAGTATAACATAGGCAAGTAGAGCTTATAAAATTATATATATCTGTTTATCATATTCTATGTACATGTATGCATCTGTAACATTTTTGCACTTGTTTTTTTTTTTTGCGGGAACGGTGGTTTAAAAGTATACTCGAAATCATTTGAGATTACAAAAAAGACTTGACATCCCTTAACACACTTATTATCTTAAATGGACCTGTCCGTTTTTCAATCTGGACACAACCATTCATCATTTTTAGGGAAAATCTTATTTTTGAAAAAAGTGCCAACTGAATAAGCTTACAGTGCCGAACAGTGTCGGCCATTATCGGTCAGCACAGAATTGCAGTCTTGCATGGGTAGAACCGGTTGTCGTTTGCAATCTGTTGGATAATTCAAATCTTATATGAGTCGCGTCATGACAAAACCAACATAGTGCATTTGCGACAAGCATGGATCCAGACCAGCCTGCGCATCAGCGCAGTCTGATCAGGAGCTTACGAACTCTATAACAAGTAGAGAAACTGATAGCGAACAGCATGGATCCTGATCAGACTGCGCGGATGCGCAAGCTGGTCTGGATCCATGCTGGTCCTAAAACCATTATGTTGGTTTTGTTATGGCGCGGCTCATATATTACTTAGATGAGAGACAGTTTCTCAGTTCATATAACATGTACCTTTGAATATAGATGGTCTGCAGGGCTAGTTTGACTGTATCGTTCTTAGTATAGGATCATTCTGAATGTAAGTAAGGTATAAATTGCATTAATAAGTTATATGATATTTAATAATTATAAAGAATTCATTTAAAGTGGCAACACTGTAAGTAAGACATGCTCAGTCTTCCCTGTTAGCCTCTAATAAAGATTTTTTGGTTTGGCCTGTTTTACAAAAAAAAAAAAAGATTAGTGTCACAGATACTTGAAATTTTTGTATGAAATAAAAAGATAATATCTCTTTCCCAGCTTTGACATTGTGTAATCTTGGTCAATTGTATGTATATATGAACAAAAAAGGTAAAGTTATCTGTCATTGTAACAAATGAAAATTAATCTATGTTTATTCCTTAACTCCCAGACTTTGAGTAATGTATTTGCCCTCCTTTGAGTTTGGAACAGTCCATTTGTAGTTAAAGGGATGTCAATATTGAAATTTAAAAATTGAGCAACAAACAGTATAGAGCATGGACTCAGACTTCACAAAATGTGCAAGCTGACTTTAAGCCCTATAGTGATGGGGAAAGCTAGATTAGTTGAATTTTAACTCTGCCAGGTTAAAAGCTAAGGTAGACTTACTGTGATGCTTTCCGGCCAAAATATTCTGGCATATTCTCCAGGCATCAGCCAATATCTTAATAAATCGGTCATTTACAGAAAGTTATTTTTCACAATTTGATATTCAATAATTTATAACTGTTTATAACTGGAATTTAGTACATTGCAATGCATGATGAGTGATTGAAAATAATCAAATACATAAGATTATGAAAAAATAACATTAATGGTACGATAATTGGCCGATGATAGATTTTTTTTGGCGGGAAAGCATTACATTATGACTACCTTGAATATTACAAATAGGCCATTGGAATATATTAGTTCTTATAGATTATTATTTATATTTGTAGTATTATTAAATTTTAATGCTAGCTTTTCATTTTACATATTCTCTTCTGTTATCTTTACATATCTTATCTTCTTTTGCTTTGGATGCCTGCTTTTGTTTACTTTTTTTATGTTTATTATAATGATATCACTTTTGTTTCATTTTAGTGTGTGTGATGTTATTTCCAGTAACATTATTTTTTGAAAATATGTTTTTCAATGAACTTTAAGATATAGTAGTAATGCATGACTTTGATAATTTTATTAATAGATCTGTACAGTGATGCAAACCTTACATCTAAAGAATGGTGTGATGTGCATTAGATGATCAACAAAGGCAATATAAAGGAGACTGTCACACATTCACATATCCCTGTGGATTATATATATTATTAAAGGAGCACCCTGGATATAAATGTTCTTAAGGTCCTCCCCACCCCCACCCCCCAGCCATAAAATTTGGTGAATTGTGTAGGGGAAGGGACATATAGTGTTTCCTTTATCCATGTTAGTAACTTCTTCATAATTAGACAATGTATATGACTCCGGTCCCTAGCTCAAAGGTCAAGGTCAAGGCAAGGGATTAAACTTATTTGTCCTAAAGTCTAAAGTGCAGTAAGAGTTTTTGTCAAGACTATAGCTTCTGCATGCATAATAAGATTTCAAAATAAACTGAAGGAAGACAATGTGTCTGTTCACTCAAGGTCAAAATCATACTTGGAGATCAAAGGTCAAAGCACACAGGACTCAAGGTTGAACCTTGAGGTAAAAAAGTCATATGGCAGGAGCATCCATGTCTTTTCTAGTTATGATAACTTTTGCTACAGTTTTCAGGCAGAATGAATGGTTATTTTTGTTCAATGCTAGTTTACTGGCACATTAAGCATCAGAAATGAATTCAAATCTTTAGAAAGGGGCAAACATGTGTTTTTTAATAGATTTAGAGCATGTGTAATGCTAATCATTGGGGAAAAAAAGTTGTGCCAATGGTGAAAAAGTTGTCATGAATAAGTAAATAAAAAAAGGAAAGTCAAAAAGTAAATAAAGTTTTAGTTTGACTTCCTTATGAAATACAAAAAGACACTATATCTGTAATTAATGACAATATTCAAAAAAACAGCAAAAGATGGTTCAGTTATATTATGGCAATGAGTAACTTTTTGACAAGTCACAATGTGATGTACACATTTTTTTTTTTTATAAAGTAGGAATTTAAGAAACAAAAATAATATCATTTTTTAGGGCTTAATGGGTCTTTAAGTAATGGATTAGTTGTCTAGTTCACTAGCAGTACAATAAAAATATTCATAAAAATTTATTGAAATATAACACTTACGTTTATTTTTACAGAAGAAGAGACATCGGAAATTGACGAGGATGACGATGATGTTAACTATCTGGAGATCGACGGTCTGTCGTCAACGTCGTCGGAGAGCGAGGAGGAATATATCGACTACGAGGCGAAAAAGGACAAGAAAATCAAATTCAGTAGAGCTCCGATCAGGGTAAAGAATTTTTATCACACCTTTTGGAAGTGTCTAGGTAAACTGATCTGAAGTATGCAAATTTAAGTCCTTGTATTGGTTCATAATACAGGGTAAATGCAACTTCTTTGTGCTTTAACATTAGTCTGGTTCCATTCATACTATTCTGTGATTATTAGAAAAACATAGTAACAGGGGCAGGTAAACCAGACTACATGAACATCTGCAGAAGCAGATTTGATAAAGTCAGAGGGTCTCTGAATTTATAAATGCTTGAAAAATATATGCTCTAGCATTTTTCTTGCATGAAATTTGACATCTGATTTGATAATTTAATGTTTTGTCATTTATTTTTTCATATAAAGAAACCAGTTTGATAATGCTTTCAATGCACAAATGTGATGTCAGACCAAATTTAATCCATTGCCCCGCAAGCTCAGGCTTTAAATGCATCCTTGTGCTTCTTCGAATGTTAGTACGAGAAAAGGGTTTGTGTTTAGTTTGTTTTTGTTTTATTTTTATGGTGCACCAACACAATTTGGGTCAAATGGCACAGAAACAGGAAAGATGACTTTGGCTAATCTTAGGTGTAACAAACTTAAAGCAACACCAAGGGGTCAAAACAACCTCACCTGCTGGAGCTAAGTGATGCATAGACTCAATTAATTCTAATCCATTTAGTGGCCTTTTGTGATCACGCCGGATGCATCAACTGTCTACTATATACAGGCATTATATACATTATTTTGAATGGCGTTTTCAGGTATTCATGACGTACTCAACAGATGATTATGACAGAAGAAACGAGGATGTTGATCCGGTTGCTGCCTCAGCCGAATACGAGCTGGAGAAACGAGTCGAGAGAATGGACGTCTTCCCTGTTGATCTTATAAAAGGTAATTTAGACATATAAATATATATGATAAAGAGAAAAACAAGAGCCCAGTCAACCCTTTGTTCTGCTGTATGGAATAATATCTAAAGGAATTATTCGCTTCTGTATTGGAGGCTAATGATTCAAATTTCAGCATTATTGTTAAATTATTTATTTTAAAGGCCCATTAAGCCTCAAAAATATATATTTTTTTCATTCTGTGGAATGGGCAAACAAGATGTGTTTAATGGAGATGGTTAATGGATTAAGAACATTTCAGATGCATATTAACTGAAGAAAATACCTTGTAATGTAAAATAATTTCTGATAACGGTATGAAAATGTAATCATAGTCGTATTTTGATTTCCATACAAAATACTAAATCAACTATAATTGTACTGATTGTCAAAATGCAAAGAGACAAAAAGATGGCTCAGCTTTTTGGTGATCAATGAGTAACATTTGGGAAACTGTTATAGGACATCAAGAATATACAAGATTTAATGAAAAATCAAAATATAACCAGTTTTTGAGGCAGCATGGGCCTTTAAGAAATTGGTTTGAGATACAGAAACATAAATATATTTTGCCTATCATCACAAGGTCTGTTATAAATAATTATATTGAATTCCATGTTTATCAAGTTATACATTTTTGTTTGTGATACGAACTTTGGGTTAGTAATGAAGGCCAAATTTTGCAGACTATCTTGTTGTTTCGAGTTGGTTAGAAATTTAGCCAATTAAAGTTTCAGTTTTATATTTGAATAATATCCAACTGGCTTGAATGAAAATCCTGTATGATTATAGTCTTTGAGACTTGATGAACGATTTGAAGTTTAAAGTGTTAAGCAATTTTCCAAACACCTGCTATATGTATTGTTTTTGCGCTTTTAAACCATTTCTCTTGGGAAGCAGCCAAATTTGTAAGTTTATCGAAATAAGACATTTTTTTGTTTGGCTAATTTTGGCAATTTAAAGATTGTATTGATTTTGTTTCGTAGACACAATTTATATATCGGCCACTTGTTATATGTATAAAATGGTTATGTTGATAAGTTTTGAAAACTAATGAATTCTAATGACTGGTTGTAGTTTAAAGGGAAGTAATACTGGTTGGAAGTTTAATTTTTCATATTTTGATTATCTCCCTTGACATTGTAGTTAAGTATTCATTTTTCTCTGTGCCAGACTTGTACTATGTTAAACACAGTATGATTTGATAAAATTTTAGTGAAAGACTTAGAGCAAACAAGAATTTTAAATTAAAAAGACAATTGAGTCAGTTATTTTATGGAAAGGTTGATTAGATTCCGAGAACTTTATTGAAATCAGTTTTCATTAAACAATATCTTATCAAATTGAAAAAAAATACAGTGAAACCTGTGTAGTAAAACCATTCCTGTAATTGAGATTGTGTTGTTTTTATTGACGAAACATGTCAGTGGATTTTTCTAAGTAAAGTTTCTTGTAATGAAATTGTTCAAAAGCAGTGTTTGATCTTTGTGTCAAGTGACAAGTAATTTTTTATCTATGATCACTTAGAGTAGCGGCCTTAAGTTTGGTTTGACCTTTTCAGTGTCAGTCTCATTTAAAGCTGCATGCCTCCAGATAAGCCCTAAAAAAACTGAAAATCAACCTTATGAAAAATGTACTAAGATTAAAAAAGAAAGGTTAAAGTATCTATTACATTTAAAGTTATAAGTTACATTTTACATGAAATGAATGACTGATTTTTCTGTATTTATCACCATATTTCTAGTCAATCTGTAAGGGCTTTCTTTTCCCGCATATTTTGACATTTATTTGGTAATTTCTGTGGATTTGAATTGCCATTTGCAATGTGTAAATTACTTTCTTTGTTCACTTGAAAATGAAAATATTTTACTTTTTAATACATTTTCAAAATTTTTATGAAAATAAGCATGAATCTGGAGGCATGCTTGCTTTAAATGCATGCACGAATAAGGGTTTTGGATTTAAAAACCTAGTTGAAAAGTGCATCTTGAATGAGAACACTCTGTATATGAGCCGCGTCATGACAAAACCAACATAATGGGTTTGCGACCAGCATGGATCCAGACCAGCCTGCGCAGACCAGTCTGATCAGGATCCATGCTGTTTGCTATCAGTTTCTCTACTTGTAATAGAGTTGGTAAGCGAACAGCATGGATCCTGATCTGGTCTGGATCCATGCTGGTCGCAAACCCATTATGTTGGTTTTGTCATGACGCGGCTCAATTATGTATCATTATGGAAACTTAATGTATATAATTCTTTGCATGTAACAACACATGTTTACTTAATATGTCTGTCTTTATATATTGCTCATTAAAAACAAAATAGAGGAAATGCTCATTAAAGTATGTTTTGTGGCTAGATCTCAGGAAGCTGCCAAATTGAATTTACTAAAGCCCTTCAAAATGTGCAATCATCTAAACTTATATAATTGATATAATGGACTCACTGTCTGTTGTTAAAACATAGCAAGGGGACATTTTGTGATATCAGAATGTTGAAGAGCTTAAGCAACCAACATTGATGCCACATCCTGCTGAATTTGTGTAGGTTTAAATTTTGGAATAGTCCATTTGAAGATAAAGGGATTTTGATACAAATATACTAAAAATTAAGTTACCCACAGTATTGAGTCTGTTATAAGTGCACCGATATACATGATGGCCTTTGGAAAAGGTATTGGTAGTTTATACCTTTAGCCTCTTTCATTTCCATGACATTTCCATGACATTATGTTTTGTTCTTATATGGTTTAGTTTATATAATTATGTCACAGGTGCTAAATGTGAAATGAAGACAAAAAAATCACCCATCAATATTATGTGAACAAGATAGCATCAAATTACAAACAAAACTTTTCCAGTTTATGTTAAAAACCAGCCTCTTAAACTCCATATTAATCAATCTCATTTAAAAGTCTAAAGAAACAAAAATTGAAAACAAGTTTGTTTTTTACCAGCATTACACCATGGCTTTAAGGCATTTCTTTCCAAATTTCTGTCCAAAATCTCTTGCCTGATTCAGAATAATAATGATAAATTGCAAGCACTTTGAACATTTTGTATAATGAAGTTTGAATTTATTGCCTCTTGTATTTTAAAGGTAAAGCAATAAATTCTTATGTTCAATCTTTAAAGATCTAGAGTAGATAAAAATATCTGACAAAAAATCTCCCTATGCTAACAGTTTGAATATTGTAGGAAACAGGGCCTATTTCTTATTACCAAAATGTCTGATTTATCACAAGATAATAGTATAAGTTTTGTAGAGTTTAATGTATTTTACTATCAAATGTCTGATAAGCCATGCCTTCAGCCTGAAGCACTGTGAATAAGAGGAGAAAATTTGAACCCAAGTTTCATTGCATGATAATGATCTATCTTACCTGTGTCACAGGGTGGGGGGAATATAATATTATGTGGAGCCTGGCCAGATTTCAAAGCCAGGACTCGGTGCAGGTCTTCCAACTGACCTAGCTGGCTATTTTCACTTTTTCTTCCCTATTCAGGTAAACAGCTCTATTCTGTGACATGACTTATATTTTCTTGTATGCTTCCTAAATAAACTATTCAGGGAAGTGTGAATTAACTTGTAAGGGAAGTGTGAATAAACTTTTAAGGGAAGTGTGAATTAACTTTTAAGGGAAGTGTGGATAAACTTTTAAGGGAAGTCTGGATTAACTTTTGAGGGAAGCATAAATTAACTTTTGAGGGAAGTGTGAATTAATTTTTAAGGGAAGTGTGAGTTAACTTTTGAGGGAAGTGTGAATCAACTTGTTAGGGAAGTGTGAATTAACTTTTTAAGAAAACTGTGAATAAACTTTTAAGGGAAGTGTGAATTAACTTTTTAAGGAAAGTGTGAATAAACTTTTTAGGGAAGTTACAGTTGGAATAAACTTTCAACCATGAATATTTTTTCCAGATTGTCCAGAAGACCATTTGTAGATAATTCAAGGGTTAATTAAATCTGGTATTCTAAAGTTTGTTCAGGGCTATAACAAAAGTACAGACTAATATATTCTCAATATTTTACAGCAGATGTTTAAATTGGTATAGCTGGTATAGGATTAGGCTATTGAGTCAAAATTAGCGAAATAAAAGATAAAACACCATCATTTTCTTTTTCTGCCTTTTCTTTCACAAGGAGGTTTGTAGACATAGGGAAAGACATGAAAGTTATTTATGACAAATTGGGTTATATACCTTTCACCAGTGCCTGATGCTTCCAATTAGCATGTGAAGCCTGGCAAGATCCTTATCTTGTACAACACTAGACAGATGATATGTGACTGTTACATTTCTTGAGATGTTAGGTACCAGACCTTTATAGCATAGGGGACCTATATTTGAAATATGTTGCTTTTTTTCCAAACCTTTGGAACTTTTTTTCTCTTGAGTAATTAATGTCTTACCATGTTTTATATGAAGGGATTTGAACTGATTTCAGCATCAAAAAGCTAATATAGAGCCTTTTCACATTGCATATCAGTGCTAAAGACTTTGCATTTTCGGTTTAACCAAGAATTTTTGCTTGTGAGGAAATGGTTTGAGATGGCTATTATAAATTGCGGTATATTAGTAAGTTCTGGTTTCCAAAACTTTATAAGCAGCTTTTTTAACATTTTTTCTTTTCGTGTGATGCGGCATTAAAGATGTCCTGTCACAATTCACAGTGTAAAAAAACGGGTATGCTGAAGATCTTAAGCTAAATATTAGTCTACATGGGTGTGCAAAGCCCAATAACTTCTATTCCAGCAGAAAAGTGATGATATTTAAGTTCAGCATGACTTGAAGCAAAACAAAAAAAACAAAAAAAAAACAATTTAATTTATCAGAAGAATTACTGCTGTAATGACATTCTGTTGGAAAATTTCCTTGAATTAACAACTGCTTTATAAACAGTTCATCTATTTTATCATACTGTTATTTAATCAAAGGTTCATAATTATACCTTCATATTGAGACAAATGGTTTCTCTATGATACACAATTAGCTAATGTGTTAT